TTTGTATTGTATTCCTTTTTTTTTTTTTTTTTTTTTTGAACATTCAGTGGTATAACTCATAAAAATTGATGGCAGTTTTGATAACCAAAAAATTTTAATGATAACAACAATAAAATCATTAAATTATTGGCAAATAACAAGCTCATATTATAGCAAAAACACAATAAGTTTATCAAAACTATCACAGTAAGAATATTTCTAAAAAAAGAATTTATCTCAAGTTTGCTAAATTGACTAATGTATTTGTATATGTATTACATTTTCCAATTAATGTATTCTGTCTTTTTTTACTTCTTCTTCAGTGGTATGTAATTATAATAGAAAAAATTTGAATACAATACATTACAGACAACTTCCACTGATTTATAATTAAATTGCACATCCTTAAATTTTAATCAAATTGCATGATTATAGTAAGCAATCGAAATTGTAATAAAACAAGCTATTACATTTATCATGTATCCAGTGATAATCATTTATCTAATTGATAGTCAATGTTTTCTTTTTTTGAGGTTAATGGACGATGTGTCAAAAGACGCGTACCAGGCGCAACGTGTTTTGCTAGTGAGCAATGTTTAGATGAATCAACTTGTTTGGATGGATACTGCAGATGCTCTAATGGTACTGAACTTCTTTCAAGGTTGGTAAAGTTTCTAATTAGTTGAACTGAATTTCGCTATCAATTGGAGATGAAAACGATTGATCTAATAGATTTAGATATATTCCCTTAATACAATTTCATAATTATTGGGTAGTTTCTCCCTTACTTTATTTTTTTTTTATTATTTTACAGGTACTGTATTCGGCGTAATGAAGCCGAAGAATGTGATACCTATCAAACTTACATAAAAGGGAAATGCTTAGATTTAGCAATACCAGGTGAAGATTGTATTGACAATTTGCAGTGTATTGCAGCCTCGACATGTCGTGAAGGTAAATTTGGGCAAAAATTTTTTTTTTTACATTAAAAAACTTTAATTAATTCAATTCAACTAAAGTCAACTTTACAAATTTTTATCACTTTTGCTTTTTATCTTCCCAAAAAAAGTATGTATGTAAGTAAAAGAGATTTATTTGAGTGAACATTCAGTTTTTATATTAATCATGAATTAATGATTACAATTTGTTGTAATTGAATATGCATTAATAATCAGCACTTGCTAGTAAAAATAGCAATTAATTCCTACTAAACTGACCTTATGCAATTTTTACGAATGTTCTTCAATTCAATTTGACCTATTTTGGAATCTTAATTTTCAATTAGGTAAATGCATATGCTCCAATGGATATATTCAAGTAAAGAAGTATTGTGTTCAAGATCTCAGACCTTCAAGGGAATGCAGTAATAATCAGGTATGACGTTACACTGGTGGAAACTGGAAGTGAAAATCCGGAAATTATTTTAGCACAAAAACTCTCAACCACTTTGATGTCTCTAATTTTAGGTAGTGATAAATGGTCATTGCTATGTTCCTAATTTCAGGTTATGATAAACGGCCATTGCTATGAGTTTGCTAAAATTGGTCAATACTGTATTGATACAGCTGTTTGCTTAGGTGATTCCGTTTGTTACAACAATTACTGTACTTGTCCAAAGGATACAATTGCCCAAAGTGGTCGATGTCAAAAACAACAACGTTGTGACGAAAATCAAGTTCAAATAGATGGGCAGTGTTATTCGCAGGCTAATATCGGACAGCACTGTCAGTTTACTAAGCAATGTACATCAATTTCAACTTGTCAAAATGGTATTTGTACCTGTCCACCAGGTACCGTATCTCAAAATAATATCTGCATACCATCTGGTCTATGTCCTACTGGACAGATATACATTGATGAAAGTTGCTGGGATATAGCTTATATTGGGCAACAATGCAAGTTCACAGAACAATGTCAAGGTTATTCTACATGTGTCGGCAGAACATGTCGATGTCCTAGTGATACTGTAGTGCGAGATGGGTTATGCATCAAAGAACAATGCAGCAGTAATGAAGTTATGATCAGTAAGATATGTTTCAAGACGGTATGTTCTATCCGAATGTTATATTTTATGAAAATTCAAAAATTTCAAATCTTTAATTTTCTAATTACTATTTTTTTAAGTCATAATTTTTCTAAAAAATTTTTTTAAATCTTTAATAATGCAGTTACTGTTGAATCAATCAATGATCCTATATCATGAGATAATCGTAGTAATGAGAATAACTCTCTTATTTTAAGCATAAAATTTTGAGTATGTTGGAAATTTTCAACATATATTCTCTTGTTTTGTGTGGTCATTTAAATTGCAATAAATGATATCTTAATAAATTGACAAATTGCAAAAATTTAATTAACTGGCTTATTCACTCAATTAGTTACTTAGTAATAATAATAGATAAATTATGCAGGCAAAAATTGGTGAGTTTTGCTATTATACAAAGCAGTGTGAAGGGAATGCAGTTTGTCAAGCAGGTAAATGTACATGTCCATCGGGTACTATTAAATCAAATGATACCTGTGTCATTAACTCGAAATGTCAACCGTATCAGGTTTCCGTCAATAATTCATGTCTTGATACTGTTTCTATTGGAATGACTTGCCAAGATGATTCTCAATGCATTGGTTTGTTTTGGAGTTTTTGTTTTAATTTTGAATTTCTCCAATTAAAAGTTTTGAAAAAGTACTTATGAATCAAACCTTGATATAAATATTCCAAATATTTATATCAAGGAAAATATTTATATCAATTTAAATATTTATATCAATTTAAAAAATACTTAAAATTTTCCAAAAAAATTTTCCAAATATTTATATCAATTTAAACTCCAATCATAAAAAGGCTCATAATCACTGCATTTGATTCACAAATCAATCAACTATATTAACAACTTAATCTTTGATGACAATATTTACTTCCTCCTTTTTTTCATGCAATTTCATAACATAAATGTCTATTGTGTTGACGATAAAAAGTTTAAATTTTTAAAACAACTTTCACTTTCTCTTTAATTCTTCTTGTCCTTTATGCAATACTTCATGTCAACATGTCAACGTTATGTTGACAAATTTTAATTTCTGAAATATTTGCATTGTTTTTATCCCTTAAATGTAAATAATTGAATGAATTAATTGAAATGGAAAAAAGTTGCAGAATCGGCAAGTTGTATGCCAGGAACAAGTTCGAGCAATTCTGATATCCAAACTTGTCAATGTAATAATGGTACGGTATTCACTGGTAGCAAATGTTTGCCGTCATTAATTCAGTGTCCCACATCTACTGTTTATATCTTTGACAATGTTTGTCATACTTTAGTAAAAATAGGCCAATTCTGTATGTATACTATCCAATGTATGGGATATTCGGTATGCTCAAGACAGATATGCAAATGTCCTACTGGCTATAATATCATTCGTAATGTTTGTAGGAGAATTAGCTGACACTGATCAGATTTTCTTTCAACTTTCAACTAAACTCACAAATATGCGCAATTATTGATTAAATCCATTTGCGCATTTCTTTTTTTTTCATTCACTCATATTATTTATAAACAATTAATTGTTTCGTTTTAATTTACAGGAAAATTTCCATTAATTTAATGACAAAGAGTTAATAAGAGAAATGTGAATAGTGAATGAAGCAATTATAAATTTGGAAAACTATTGCATGGCAGTTTTTTTCCCATCCTGACAATTTTAGAAATTCGGAAGAAATTTTATTGCAATAATTTAATTAGCAATCAATTAATTGTTAACATACGAATTTCATTGAATGATTTTTGATGATGGGAAAAATAATTTACCGGATAATTGTCAAAGCAATGGAGCAAGTCTACGACAAATATGATCAAGCAAAAAAATTTTACAAAAGTTCCTTTTCAACAAGTCATATCAGTTCACTTGGAACGATCACAGATGTAGCATCTTTTTCGTTACATTATGACGAAGTAATTGGAAGTGATTAGTTGATAAGATAAACTGAAAAAATTTTAAATATCAAAATAAATTCCGATTCAAATTGAATGAAAGAAAAATATTTGATGCAAATGAACCTTATTAATTTACATAAACCTATATGATTGAAAAGGTTATTATTATAGACAGATAGAAAAGATAATTTAATTTTGTGGCAAAAAATAAACAATGAGCTAATAATAATCTGATCATTATCAGCAAATATTGAGGTGATAAATGGTAATAGCAATAATAAACAGGAATAAATTAATTATGGCAGTTATCGTTACTAATAGGTTTATCATCATTGCTATCATCGTTATACAAGCAATCATTCCACATTTGACGATAGTCTAATTCAATTCGATCGATATCCACATTTGCTACTTCAATATTCACCGTATTCAAGCGTATATCCGATCGTAAACACACAAACTTCATCTGTAATCGAGAAAAAAGTGTAATGTTCAAATTAGCTGCAAAAAATATCAGGTAGAGAATAAATAAGATAGCACAGAAATGAAATTCAGCTTCATCTTTGGTCATATTGAAAAATTCAAAGGTATGATCGGCGGAAATGATAAACATCCTTTGATCGTACTTTTGAACTTTTAAAAAAATCACACTGCTTGTATTAAGCAAGAAATATCGAGAATACCTCAAGTTTAGTTCGTGCTTTATTAATTTCAGCCAATTCCCGTATCCACATGTTCACCTGTGCCTCGACCTTTCTAATTTCGTCCTCCAACTGTATCACTGTTTGAAAATCTACTGGAAAAAGAAAATCTTTTTATCTTTCCATTTTCATTAGGCTTAATTAATGATTGATGAATAAAATAATCTAAAAGCTTGTAATTGTTATAGAATTCAACTTTTTCTTTTTTTTTAAAGGACATTATAATTTGTCCATATAACACCTATGGAGAACACCTGGTCCTTTGGACAACTGCGCTGTTATGCTCTGATGCCGCTCACGAAGTGACACAGCTGCCTCATTTAGGATTTTCAGTTGTGCATCGTTCTGTAATACAAAGTTAAACAAAAATACAGATATTTGTGCTATATGATAATTTAAATTTGAATTTTAATCTTAAATTTGATGACATTTCACAAATTCATAAAATGATACAGCTAATTTCCTCTCATCAAGTTAATGAACTGACAAGAACAACTGGTGAACATTTTGGAAGTTTAAATATCCAATAAGTAATAAAATACGTCTTCCAGTGACTTACTTCATCAATATCAACTTTCCATTGCAAGAAATTTTGACATAATGCTTTATGATGCGCACAAATCATTTTGATTTCATTTAATTCATTTCGGACATCATTGCCTGGCTAATTACAACAGTTTTTTAACAGAAATTTTTAACAAGTTAAATTAAATTTATATTAATAATTCTTTTATTTGATGTACTTCTACTTGTGGGATCAAAAAGGGAACCTTTTCACATATTAAGTAGCCTTTTTTTTTGGAAAGGAAAGAGGGGAAATTGATAGGTAGAAGGAAACAAAATTTTACTTCCTAAATATCACATTTTTTCGAAATTTGATTTTTTCTCTACATCTCCTGAAAAACTTCTATCGGAAATTGATTCAATTTGCCATATTTGGTTTCCGGACAGTGTTTAGACATAGAAAGTAATTCTTCTTCTTCAAAAAAAAAAAAAAAAAAAAAACTACAATGAAAATTCGAAGCTATTTAGAACGAAAGCGCTCTGGACAATGGAAATTTAAAAAAGAAAACATTTTTTGGAAGAAATAGGGACAAAAATAAGTGTATTGTTAGAAACATACCTTTGACTTTGGCTTATGAGCAAATGAAAACATTGCGATTGAATGTTATTCAATACATAAATCTAATTTGTGGTGGTAATAATGCAAATTATTTGAATATTTGCTTCAACTTTTTCAAATTCCAGTAGTTCTGATTATTCAATTAATTATTTGAATTTTCATTTTGGGAACTAGAATAAAGGCAGCGGTTTTTAGCAATTGCGAAGTTTGTTTGAAATCGTTAATTTCATCTCATTGCGCTCCGTTTCAAACATGTTATGATATTTAACTCAGCTGTAAATTATAACAATTCATTGATTTCGTGGCGAAAATTAACACAACCATCTTGTAAATGTCACCCATGATTCATTTATCAAAAATTTATGATCTGTCGAAAAAAAAAGAATGCAACATCGACAGTATCTAAACACCGAACTTAGCTTGAGACATTTTCCATTTCGAAAATGCTGCAAGGACGTTTTTTTTGCGATAGTTTCAATTTAAATTTTAGATTTCAAATAAAGTGAATTTAAATCAATGGAGGACCTTAACAAGGACTGAGTTCTATTTACAATTAATATAATTCATTATGTTTTCAAACTGTTTAATCTGTGAAATTGTTAGATTACAATTTTTTTCCAACAAGTAAAAAGCTAATACACAAAAAAGTGCCACAATGAGAAATTCCCTAAAATTTTTTTTAATCTACAAACTTTGAAACACTTTTTCGTCGTGGTCTTTTTGGATATTTTGCTTAATAAAAGAAGAAAGAAAATGAAGGAATGCATTACACTAATACTTTTTTTTATACGGCGATATAATGACCTCAAAAATCGTTGTACATGTAAGTCAAACTACAGTACTTGGAAAAGGATATATACTTCATAGGCAAGTAACTTTTCAACTTTACCAAAGGCTAATATTGTGTATTATACCGATCATATCGATGAATTTGCTCCTATCAGAAGAATTTGGAGGATGTGACAGCAAATAAAATTTCTCTTCGAATTCAAACATAGAATATATATAGTAAAGGAATATTATAATAAAGTATTGGTGTATATTATATTGGTGATATCAAAGGGAACTAAAAGGAGTTAAAGTAAGTCGCTTTTGTTTAAGAGAATGGCATCAAATATATAAAAAGGTGATGTTCAATTATGAAAAAAAGTCACATTGAATTAAGCGCAAAAAATGATCAAAAAGCCGCCTTACGAAAGATGTGGATAGATAAGCAAAGTATAACATCGATTATAAATAATATATAGATACTTTCGCGGAATGGTTGAAAAGGAACGGGAAGTTCATTTTAAAATATTAAATTTATACAAATAGCAGTTTAAATGAAAGGAAGCATTTAGAAGAGGAAGAGAATCATTCAAAATGCAGAATGAATATAGAATAAAAAAAAAAGCTAATTGCTTCCCTGTTTACTGTTAAAAATAAAAATAAAAAGTGGATGGAAATTTTATCTTCAGTATACTTTCACAAAGCAATAAAGCAATAAATCAAATTCCACTTTCAGTCATTTTTTTTGTTGTGGACCATTAATCTGACATAAGATTTTAGGGAAAATAGTAATTAAATAAAAGTGAATCATTTTTAGACGCAAATTAATCATTTCAAGTGCTTAAGTGATTAGAGGTTATATGCAAAAATGGCTAGAAAAATAAGAAAAGGATAAAATTTTGTACTAACATTTCGTAACAAAAATATCTGATGCAAAAGTAAGATTTAAGTTCATTTTCTGCTTGTTGAACAATTGACAGAAGAGATTAATCGGATCAAAATAGTTCTCCTTAACTAACCACTCAGTGATAATACAAATAAAATTTCCAATTTATCGAAAATTTTTCTTAGAATAAACTTCTTATAAACAGGAATTGTGAATTTAATAATTTATTTCTACAAGCATTATAAACTGTTAAAAAGATTTTTTCTTGCTCATATCTATCGATTCTTTGAAGTTTCAAGATGAGTCACATAATTTTTCGACAAATTCAATATGCAGAAATTTCACGCATTTCGCAACACTTACCTATCTGATTATGCCACGTTTTTAATTTGTCACATCCAATTTAATTGTCCTACTAGCAATTATTTCTAAATCCGGAATGGAAAGGCAATCTGAAATGGATATGAAAGGAAATTTTGAAAACGAAGCATACTAAATTGGAGCAGATATTGATATATTAGAAAGTTTTCTTTCTTAAAGAAAGTTTCCTTTCTTAAGAGAACTTTTTTCGTTTTCCATCAATCTCTCTTGTTGCAACCTTTTCAAATATTTGGCACTTCCAACTAGCTAACATAATTTCAACCTTAATGATATACAAAACTTTGTTCTCAAAAAAGAGTTGAATTCCAAATTGATACAAACCCAGAAACCTTTATTCATAAGTGGGAAGTGTAGAAATCAACAGCACAATTTTTTTAAAAAAAAAAAAAAAACCACGATATCGTTGCATTTATTTCTAGTTCTATGATTAAAATGAGTGAGATTTCGAAAACAGAAATGATAATTTCAAAATTAATGATTGACTGCAACTTGAAATTAAAAAGGGAATGTATGGAACTGCAATATTTTATAAGTAAAAGAACGTGAAATACAAAAATGTATAAAATATAGGAAGTGATGAAA